ATCTCAATCTCTTCTTTTCACCATCTATCATGGTGCTGCCATTTGGTCCAGTGGTGATAGTCTTTGTTTTCTTGATGCTGAGCTTCAATCCATATTGTAGGCTTTAGTCCTTGACCTTCTGCAACAAGCACTTCAGATCTTCCTCCATTTCAGCAAACAGGGTTGTATCATCTGCATAACACAGATTGTTGATGAGTCTTCCTCCAATCTGATGCCAAATTTCACTTCATAGAGCCTAGCGTTTTAGACAGTATATTCTGCATATAGACTGAAAAGGTATGGAGATAGGATACATCCCTGGCATCACCCTTCCCAATTTTGAATACAGTGTTTCTTTGCTGTGATAACTGCCTCCTGGTCAAAGCATAGCTTTCGCATAAGCACAATCAAGTTTTCTTGGAATCTCATTCTTCTCAGAGTCAGCCGTAATTTGTTGTAAACTACAGAGTCAGATGTCTTTATATAGTCAAGTAAACACAGACAGATATTCCTCTGTACACCCTCCTTTAAGCCAAAATCCATCTAACATTAGATATAATATCCCTCATACCATGGTCTCTTCTAAACCTAGCCTGCACTTCAGGTTTTCTGTTGATGTACTGTTCCAGTCCTTTTTTTATTATTTTCAGCAGAATCTTACTTGCATGTGATATCAATAATCTAGGTTTGAATTTGTTCTCCAATTACTTCAACTTAAGAAACGCTGAGCAAGTTTGGCCTTTTTGGTTTTCCAACTCAAGCTCTTTGCATATTTCATTAAAATTCTTTGCTTTGAATTCCTGAGATGCTGTTTGAAATATTCTGCTTAACTCCTCAACTTTCTGATTCTTTCCCTTTGCTTTGGCTTCTCAGTACTCTAGTGCAATATTCAGAGTCTCTACTGACATTCATCTCATACTTTTCTTCCTGCTCTGTCTTTGCAATGACCTTTTGCTTTGTTTATGAATGGTATTGTCATTATCTTTCCAAAGTTCTTCTGGCCTTCAATCATTAATGTTCATGGACTCAAACTTTTTCCTGAAGTGATTTTGAATTTCAAGTGGAAAAGACTAAAGGTCTTGTGGATTTCATTTTCTTTAGTTTTATTTTGAACTTGCATATGAATAGTTGATATTCTGGTCCACAGTTAGCACACAACCTAGTTTTTACAACTGATATTGAGATTTTTCAGTAATTCTTTCCACAAATATGGTGGATCTAATTCCTGTGTATACCATCAAGTGGAGTCTATATGAATAGTAGCCATTTATGTTTCTTCTAAAAGGTATTTACAATGAATAAACCATTGATTGTACAAAATTTGATCATTCTATTTCCGGCCTCATTACTATCACCAAGAACATGTTTTCCAACTACTGATCCTTCTTCCTTGTTATAAACTTTGCATTCCAGTCACTCATTATTATCAATGTGTTAAGGAGTTTATTTTGACTGCTACACAGATGGGCAAGACTATGCTAATGGGGCATGTTGGCCTATCCACATGGAGATTGGCTGGTCTCAACAATCTACAAGGGGACGGTAGTCTCACTTATTAATTGAAGAGCTCTAGCTACAGAAATAGAAATTCTTCATCCAGACCAAGAATAGAGACCTCCCCGAATCAAGCAGAATGTAGAACACACTTGTAGACAGCAGCAACAGTGATGGCTGAATGGGAAAACTGATGTGAGATGGGACTATAGCAATTGGGTGCCAATATTGGCAGTACTGAGAACCTGTTAACATGTAGAACCAGGAGGCTTGGTATTAGGTGCCTGCACACACATTTTAGGAGCTATCTTGACTGTATTTTGTTGTAAACGTGAATTATAACTTGTTCACTCCCCACATATGGTTCTGTGTGGTCTGTGAGCTATAACATTAAATTTTGGACACAGCTAAGCAGTAAGATTGATATTGAAATGTGTAGTAGGAGGCATGGGAGTGTGGGCAATATGCCTGACCTTAAAGGAGTGGGCTTTGTGTTACTGATATTGTGGGTGGATAGTTTCCCCCTGTGAAGTTGGTAAATGTCAGATATGGCACTCCCCACATGGGAGTGTCTTGGTTGTTAAGTTTGACCTATTTGAACTGGTAAAAATCACCTGTTCCCTTTTCTTTGGCTCTGGTTGTTGGTGCATATATTTGAATGACAGTGGTTATTAACCAGACTTCCTCGTATGCATATGGATACTATCCTGTCTCACAAGATTGTATCTTAAGATGGATCTAGAAATGACATTTTCAACTATGAACTTGATATCATGTTTCCTTACCTTTTCATTCCCAGCATAGTTGACTCAAAATGTCCCATGCTGATGCATCTCATTTGACCAATGCCTAGTATATCAATATTTATGTGTTCCATTTCTTTCTTAACAATGTCCAATTTCCCTACATTCATTCTTCTCACATTCCAGATTCATTACTGTCTGCTTACAGCTGCTCCTCCTCATTAGTGTTTCACAACACGAGTGCTCAGCCTTAGGTGCCATATATGCTCATCTACTCTAAGTGTTTTGCTCTAATGTACGGGATTTCCAAAGGCCCATCATTTTAGCAGTGGCTGGCTAATTCTTCTTTCTAGTTTACTTTCATTTGAATGCTTAGCTTTACAGTAATATTTAATAGAATAGCATTTTAATCAAAAGGAACAGATGAAAGACATTTCTCCTTTATAGAAGTAACCAATACTTTCAGTGTCAGTTCCCCCTTTTGGCGAGTGTGTCTTGGTCCTGTCCCTTTTCCTTCCACTAGAATCTCCTTCTCCCCCTATCTTACCTAGTCCATCTAGCACCTTCCTTCCCCCAGCCAGCCCTTGATATGATGGCTCAAGTCTCGAGTCACTTCCATGAGGCCTCATGCTTCATACTGCTGCCAGTCTCCCACATTGCTGCTACTAGTTTCTTGTGTGTTTGGAGGCTGTAAGTCTGAATTCCAGGTACCAGGTTTAGGGAAGCATTTCTCCCCAAGGTAGTTCTGGAGAAGTGTCCTTGTCTCTGAACTTCTCCAACACTGTCTCTTTGTGATTTATTGTCTATGCTCTTCCATTTATAGTATAATGCTGTCAGAGTAGTGTAATTTCCCTATTTAGGGGGATGTCTCCCTATACTTGGTATGCTGTTTTGCTTACTTGACCAGATGACCTGTCCTCAAGCTTGACACTAATTTGGGTCAAGGATCTTTGTTATATGAATCTCCTGTCAGCAAATCCCAGTGGAGTTTTAGGGAGAGGGGAATTGATGGAATACCCATTAGCATATATCAACAGACAGATGGTACCCAGGATATGCTTATCATGTTGTGTCAAGAAATCTGGAGGGCAACTAGTTGCCCAACTGACTGGAAGAGATCCATATTTATTCCCATTGGAAATAAGGTAGACCTGACAGAGTGTGGAAATTATCAAACAATATCACTGATACCACATGCAAGTAAAATCCTGCTGAAGAGTATCCAAGAAACTGTGGAGAACAAATATAACAGTGGAGAGTTGTCAGAAAAACAGACTAAGTTTAGAAGAGTCCCTAGCCCCAGACACCTTATAACCAATATCAGGTGGATTTTAGTGAAAGCAAAGAGTACTAGAGAAATGTCTGTCTGTCTTTAATTTATTGTTCAAAGGCATTTTATTGTGTGTATCAAAACAAATTGTGGCTAACTTTGAAAAGAATGGGAATCCCAGAACACTTGTTTGTGCTCATGCAAAACCTATACTTAGACCAGGAAGCAATCCTCAGAACAGAGCAAGGAAACACTGTATGGTTCACTGTCAGGAAAGGATTGTGTCAGGGATGCATCTTCCTCCATATGTTTTCATTCTACATACAGAACAGACCATTCACGAGGCTGGGCTTAATAGGGAGCAATGTGGCGTCAAGATTAGAGGAAGATTCATCAACAACCTGCATTATACAGATGACACAACCTTGCTTGCTGAAACTGAGGAAGACCTGAAGCATTTGCTGCAGAAGGTCAAGAACTGCAGTCTTCAAATGGATTAAAGCTCTGAATCAAGAAGACAAAAATTCTCACTGTGGCCAACTGGCAGCACCATGATATAAAGATATGGAGGCTGTTAACAATTTCAGCTTGCTCGGTTCCTCAATCAAAACTCTTGGCACCAGCAGTCAAAAAATAAAAATATTTTTAGCTTTGGCGAAAGCTGCTGTGAGGATTTTTCCAAAGTACTATAGGGGACTTGGAAGGAGGAGTGGCATCCACTTCCATAATGGCTTGCCTCCGGAAACCCTATGAACCTGGAGAGAGGATGAAAGGCATCCATGTGTCAAGGACTCTCCTTCATAGGGTCGCTATGAGTCGCCTGCGACTCGATGGCACTTAACAACAACAACTATAGGGCACCAATGTCAGTCAGGAGACTACGTTGTGACTGATTCAGGCCATGGTCTTCACAATTACTTGCTATGCATCAGAGAGCTGGACAAGAACTAAGGTTGACAGAAGAAGGACTGATGCCTTTGAATTATGGTGCTGGAGTAGAATATTAAACATACCATCGACTGCCATGAGAACAAACATGTTTAACCTGGAGAGGGTGAAATCAGGCTTCTCCTTGGAGGCAAGAATTTTGTAGCTCTGTCTCACATCCTTTGGGCATGTGGCCAATATGGATCAGACCCTGGAGAAGGACATCATGCTTGGAAGGGAGAGGGATAGTAAAGGATGAGGTGGACTGACATAGTAACTGGGGTTAGGTATGTTGGAGACAGTGAGACTGGCTGAGGAAAAAGCAGAGTTCAGAGTTGTTGTACCTGGGGTCGCTAAGAGTTTCCGGCAACTTGATTGCACATAATAAAAACAACAACAACAATAACAACAACAGATGATATTCTATCTTCAATAATCTTGCTGTTTAAATATATGTCAATATATGTTGCTTAAAGGCAATTTCTTAGGTTTTAAATGAGATAAAATTTACCCCCCAAAATCCCCCCATTCTTTGGAAAAACCTATTTCAATAAAATCATGTAAAAAGATCAATATTTAATACTTACGCTATGACTATCATCACTCAGGATTTCTGATTCTGAATCACTATCAACATCATCTTTTTCCAAGGAGGAAATGCTTATTTTGTCCAGTTCAGCTTCTATTTCTTCTTTGAGCTTTGCATCATAATCACCATCATCTTCCATCATTCTTCATGCTAAAACCACTTAAATAAAAACAAAGGTACTATTATTCAAGTTAAAACCATAAATGTCTTAATTTGTCACATCAATGTAGCATTTTATATGTAAAGATGGTTTTGTTGTTGTTCTTGTGTGTTATCAAGTTGGATTCAACACATAACTGACCCTCCAGCAGGTTTTCAGGGGTAAATCACACAGGACATGGATGCCCATCTTTCTCCCGAAGAGGAGCTTGTGGATTCAAACCATATGCTTTTGGGATTACAGTACAGTTTCTTTCCACTAGGCCACCAGAGCTCCCTAAAGATGTTTTAATATGACAAAATATTGTCATGCCTTTTTGCTAGGGTTGCACCATATATATTCTCTCTTAATGCCATCAAGTGTGAACAAACTCATAGCAGATCCTCCATTGGTTCCTGAAACTATAAATTGCAGAGAATACCCAACTTGCTCCCATGAAAGTGCAGCCTTTAGTTTAGCAGCACAACTCCTTAAAGACTACACTACCAGAGTTTTGGTGGCCTAGCAGCAAGAAGCTGCACTGCAATAGTGAATCTATGTGGTTCGAATCCATCAGCTGCTCAGTGGGAGAAGGATGGGTAATCTCCTTCAGTGTGATTCACTGCCCCTGAAAATATGCTGAAAGGTCAGCTATGGGCTGGTTCCAACTCTATGATATACAACAGCAACAGGCAGAGCACCCTGGTGATTGGTATTTATAAAACCAAATATTAAGCACATAATTTTGACTATTTGTTCCCCCTCCCGATAATATTTGGTTTAAAGAGGCAATAGGAAGGATCCCTGTGGTATTGTAACTATTAAGATGGTGGATAAGCAAACTTTTATCAGTTATAAAAACAGCATAGTATGGGACGCCAATACTAAATATTTGTAATAAACTGAATGCTCTTTCAGGATGGGGGGGAGGTGAAGTACAAGCCAGAGTTCACCCTGAAGCACTAAGGCAATCCTTAAGGGTTTACTGACTCTTGCATTTGTTGACTCCCCCCTCCTGAGTCAGGAGGAAGGTTTTCAATAGAAAAAGTTTGGCTTCATTTGCATTGAATTCTCTTTGTGATTTACTTGCTGATTATTTTCAATAAAGATACAGGGAAGCTGGAATGGGGGTCTTCACTGGAGAACTGCTGGCCCCTGTTTTTCATGCTCTTTGTTCTTCCTCATTCCTGGCTGTCTGTCTCATTATTAATAATTATAAAAATACTTTACCCTCGATCTGCAATAGCATAAAGCTTACAGATACATAGAAGAATACAAAGGTTGCTGATACTATGTACCATGGAGTCAGAAGCAACTCATATCTGACCTTTCAGCTGGTTTTCAGTGGCTGTAAATCTCACAAATAGAGACAACACGTCTTTCTCCCACAGCAGCTAGCAAATTCTAACCCAAAGCCTTTGAGTTGGGAGTGCACCTCCTTACCAATAGGCCACCAGAGCTCAGGGATACAAATAACACTGAATAAATCTGAATAGGAACAATAGACTACATCTCTGTTAATATCTTGGTTGTGATTTTATATTGTACAATATCGCTAATATCACACACTGGCAAAATCCTGCTGAAGATTATCCAGAAAAGACTTAAACAGTACATTGACAGAGAATTGCCAGAAATACAGGCTGGGTTTAGAAGAAGTCTTCACACTAGAGACATTACTGCCAATGTCAGATGGATCTAGGCAGAAAGCAGAGAATACTAGAAGAATGTCTATCCATATTTCATTGACTATGCAAAGGCATTTGACTGTGTGGATCACAATAAATTGTGGCTAACTTTGAAGAAAATGGGAATTTCACAGCACTTGATCATGCTTATACAAAACCTGTATTTGGACCAAGAAGCACAGTCCTCAGAACAAAGCAAGAACAGAACACTGCATTGTTAAAATCAGTAAAGGAACGTGTCAGGGATGCATCCTGTCCCCATACCTTCTCAATCTGTATGCAGAACAGATCATTCGGGAAGCAGCACTTTATGAGGAGGAGTGTGGCATCAACAGTAGAGGAAGACTCATTAACAATCTACTATATGCAGTTAACACAAACCTTGCTTGCTGAAACTGAGGAGGATAGGCCGTACTTGCTACAAAAGTTCAAGGTCTGTAGTCTTCAATATGGATTGAAGCTCAACATCAAGAAGACAAAGATTCTCACCATTGGGCCAATTGGCAGCACCATATTAGATGGAGAAAAGATTGAGGTTGTTAATAATTACAGCTTGCTCGGATCCATAATCAACACTCTTAACACCAGCAGTCAGGAAATCAAGAGACGAATTGCATTGGGAAACTCTGCTGTCATGGACGGAAGAGCAACGATGTCATTCTAGATACAAATGTGTGACTAATCCGGGCCATGGTCTTCTCAATTATGTGCTATGCTTCAGAGAGTTGGACAATGACTAAAGATGACTGAAGAAGAAAGATGCCTTCAAATTGTGGTGCTGAGAGTCTTGAATATACCATGGGCTACCAAGAAAATAAATAGGTCTGTTTTGGAGAGGTGAAGCCAAGTCTTTCTTTGGAGGCTAGAATTCTGAAGCTCCGCCTCACTTACTTTGGGCATGTGGCCAGGAGGGATCAGTCTTTGGAGAAGGACTCAGAAGAGTGGACAGACAGTGCAGGAAAGGGATACCCAGGTTGAAATGTATTGATATGGTAACTGGGGTGATGGGAGTTGGTGTGTCAGAGTTAGTGAGACTCGCTCAGGACAGGGAAGTGTTCAGAGTGGCTGTACACAGAGTCCTATACAACACAAGCGACACAATGGCATATAAAAACAATAATATAATGTCATGGGTTTGGAAAAAGGAGTGGCATCTACTTCCTAAATAACATGCCTCTAGAAACCCTATGAACTTTGATAAAAGTTGATAGTTCTAAAGGGGCATCAAGCCTTTTTTGTTCATAGAGTCGCTATGAGTCGTGCTCAACCTGAGGGCAACCAACAACAGTAGTTTTGCAATATATATTTCCACTGGAGTATTTCACAAAGTGCAGAAGAGATTGTTTCTCTATTATTTCTTAAAACTGACTGTGAACCTATAATAATATTAGTAATTTATAATTTAAAATATCCTAAATAGGCTGAATCAATTCACCTCATAGAGGGTCTTCCCCTCCTGCTCTGTTCCCTCCATCCTCCCAAGCATGATGTCCGTCTCCAAGGACTGGTCCCTCCTTACAACAAGTCAAAAGTATGTCAGACGAAGCCTCAGAATCCTTGCCTCCAAGGAGCCGCCCAGTTTAACCCTCTCCAGGATGAATTTGTTTGTTTTACTAGCAGTCTGTGGTACCCTCAACACTCTTCTCCAGCACCACAGCTCAAAGGCATCAATTCTCCGTCTATCCTCCCTAGTCATTGTCCAACTTTCTGATGCATAACAAGTGATTGCAAAGACCATGGCCTGTATCAGATGCATCTTAATCTCCAGAGAGACACCATTGCTCTTCAGAACTTTGGAAAGGTCCTTAACAACAGACTTTCCCATCACAATATGTCTTTTAATTTCCTGGCTGCTGGTGCCAAGAGTGTTGACTGTTGAGCCAAGCAAACTGAAGCTGTGATCAATTTCAATCTCTTCACCATCCACCCTGATGCTGCCAATTGGCCCAGTAGTGAGAATCTTAGTCTTCCTGACATTGACCTCAATCCAGGAACACTTTAAACATGCAACTAATAAATAACACCATAAGGATAAAGAAATATCAACAACTTACACAGGAAAATGGAAATGTTCTAATACATACTAAGAAAACCTTCACATAATAATAATAAAACAGCAGGTAACTTCATGCATTGTAAAAAAGCAAAACAAGCCTTCTCCTAAATAAAGTAGTATGTATGGCAGACCCAGTGAATATCCCAGGGACAGGGAGGCAGAAGAAATATATTGACATGGAGTTATTTGAATATATACAAAAAGAAGTACTAATGATGGAAGAATGGAAGGCATAGATAAAGTGAATACCATAGAGACAGGGAACCTAAAGAAATATACTGATGTGGTGGAACATGAACAACTATGGGATGGAAAAATTGAAACTATAAATAAAGAGGTATTGTTGTTGCTGTTGTTGTTGTTAAGTGCCTTTGAGTAGCAGATGACTCATAGCGACCCTATGAAGGAGAGTCCTCGATGCTTGGGTGCCTTTCATCCTGTCTCCAGGTTCATAGGGTTTCCGGAGGCAAGCTATTATGGAAGTGGACGCCACTCCTCCTTCTATAAAGAAGTATAAGAACTTAAAAAATTACCACAAGATAGAGAAGGTATAGCCAACATAGTACTGGAAATAACAGAAACACATTAAAATGCAAACCAGACTATCAGGACCAAAATGGCAGGAGTATTTAGTATGCAAGAGGGTCAAAAAAGCAGAAGAGAAGACATGGAACACAGAGTCAGTGAGCTGGAAGACAAGAAAAACAATGAAAAGATATTAGAAGAAAAAGCAGAGAGAAGGCAAAAGGAAAATAAAGACTAGTATCATGTGAGGTAACATCAAAAAGAACAATATACAAATAATTAGATTTCCAGAATTTGAGGGGTGCAGGGAAAGCACTGATAAAATTGTGGAAGAGGTACTAGAAGAAAACTTACCAGGTATCACGAAGAATGAAGAAATCCATATTCAAGAAGCTCAGCAAATCCCAAACAGATTAGACTCCAAAACAAAAACATCACATGTCATAGTCAAATTCTCCAAAATAAAAGATAAGGATATAATACTAAACACAGATCAAGAGAATCAGAGTCCTCTTCAAAAGAGAACCAAATAGATTAAGTTCTGATTTTTCAGCAGAAACCATAAGAGCAAGAAGGAATGACATATACAGAAGGTTGGAAGAAAACAATTGCCAGCCAAGGAGTCTGTATCCAGCAAAACCCACCAAATAAGAAGGAGAAATTCAGGCCATTTGCAGAAAACCAGGAACTTAAAGAATCTGTGAAAACAAGACCAGGTCTACAAGAAATTCTAA